AGGCACCAGGCCCAGATCATGCACAGACGAAGAGGAGGGGAACAGGCGAAGAAGAGGGGGAGAGATGGGAGTGTCGTTAACACCAAGTCTTTGTTGCAAGTCCCAAATAATCCCTCGTCAAAATGTCTGAAGCCCAAATGTCGAGTCTGGATCCAAATGTCACCACGCTCTCTCTTTCTCTCGTAGTCTGCTGATGCAGTGAAGTCAGGTAGCAAGAGGGTGAGAGGGAGATGGTGGACTGAGAAGAGGAAGAAGAAGAACTCTCTCTCTCTCATATGCCAAGTACTAACCTGTGAAGATGGCGTTGTGCTCCAGGTACCTCGAAGGCGAAGTTGGAGCTATGGCGCTGCAGGTAAGTATCCCTGGCCTCCGCCCAATCTCTCTCTTTCTAGTACTACTCTAGCTCCTATGGCGCCCAACGCTGAAGACTACTGCTATCGCTACAACTACTCCTGCAGCGCTCCTCCAGAGTGCTGCTGCCGAATCCTGAAGACTATCTCCTGCCTTCGGAACTGCACGTGAAGTGCCTGGGAAGTACCTAGGAACTCCCTACAGCCTGCAGGGCGGGCCTGTCCTATATAGTGTTGGCCCATCCAAGAGGCTGCTCTTGTAAATGCCGAAACGTGCCAGACCCTGGCGTTGAAGCTCAACTAGGGGTTGTCTTGAAAACAGGCCCAAAATGGCCTGTGCTAAAACCCTGGTTTGGTGACTGAGTTTCAGGGCAGGTCGAATTCATGAGGTCCTGAAAATGGCCTTCAGTTTCAGGCTGAAAAGAATCAGGGCCGGAAAGGCCCTGATTTAGGCTGAAACGACACAGGGCCTGTAGGCCCTTGTTTTCAGGCTTTCAGGCTGAAACGACACGGGGCCTGTAGGCCCTTGTTTTCAGGCTTTTGGCTTGAAAACGTCACGGGCCTGAAAGTGGCCCATGCAGCCTGTTGCAAGCGCAGCATGTAACACCCCCCCCTCCTTATGAAGTCAAGCCGGGTCGAGGGCGAAGCTGATGATCTGAAGGTGGAACCTGGACGCGGGTGCGACGTGGAGCCGAAGGTCCGGCTTGCCTTGCATCTTACGTTCGTAGCGTGCGAGAACGTCCGGGGCTGTTGCTTCGAGTTCCGCACGGGTCAACCAATGGTCAACTTTGTGAGTGCAGTACGCAAAATGTACCAGGTACTCGGTTGGCATGTTGTCGTAGCATCGCTGGGAGATGATGTCGCCGACCTCCTGAAAACCGTCCATAGAGGGTGGGTCTTGCGATCGTCGCTTGGGAAAATCGTCATGTTCCGCTGGCGTGTAAAGAGCCAACTTGGAGCAATGAAGACTGGGTAGACGGGCAAGTGGGTGGGCACCTGAATGGTGAAGGAAGGTCCTTCGGGTGCATCCCTGGCGGGTGCCACGATCGGCCAGGACCCCATCCATTTCGGGAGGAGCTTGTGAGAGATATCTTGTTCAAGGCTGAATTTTGCAACGGAAACCCAAATGAGATCGTCGGCATGGAAGGCGTAAGGAAGACGCTGGCGATTGGCCTGTTGGCTCATGCGTTGCTGCGTCTTGGTCATCTGGTCGCGTGCCTTGACAAGTAGCTCTTGCATCCGATGCAAGAAAAAAAGATGGTCGCCGCTCTCGACCGTTCGTGGAATGATTGTGTCCAACGGCGAAGTGGCCAGCGAGTCGTGCTCGAACTCGAAGGGCGCCATCCCGATAGTCGGGTGGATGGACGAGTTGCATGCCAACTCGACATCCGGCAGCCGCTCAACCCAATCCTTTTGGTCGGGACGTGTGAGAGTGCGAAGGAGAACCTGTGTGGTCTGATGCGCCCTCTCCGTTTGGCCATCGGTTTGGGGCTGGCGGGCCGAACTTGGCTTGAGAGATGAGCCCCATCGCTTGATGAGCGCCAACCAAAAATCGGACATGAACCGAGTGTCGAGGTCGCAGACGATTTCCTTGGGGTAGCCCTTGGTTCAAATCCAACCGGCGTAAAGAACCTCGGCCAACTCCGGTGCCTTGGCATGATAGCGGCAGGACAAAAACATCGCAAACTTGGTGAGTCGGTCGACCACCGTGAGAATCCCATCCACACTGGTCTTGTGCTTGGGGAACGGCCCGGTAATGTCCATGGCAATCACTCCCCTTCGGTGCAGGGGGACCGGTAGCGATCGCAACTCGCCGTACGGACGATGGTTGCAGGATTTGCGGCGTTGGCAAACCTCGCATGACTTGCAATAGCGTATGACGTCATCGAGAAGGTCGGGCCACCAAAATCGCTCGCGAAGTCGGCCAATCGTGCGATTGACTCCAAAGTGTCCAGTGGCAGAAGCATCGTGGAACTCGCCAAGAAGCCGTGTATGCAAGTGAGAGTTACTCGGTACGCAAAGAAGGTCCTTCCCCCGCGTGTGGACAAGCAAGTACCCCTCTTGGATCCGGTAGTGAGAAGATGCTGGATTAGGAGAGGATCAATTCGCGTACTTGTCGCGAAACTCGAGGTCGGCTTGGTAGCCGCGGATGAAACTGTCCCGCAGGTAGTCGCCGATCTCGAAGGTCGAGTAGACTGCGGTACAATGATCCGAACGTTGTGAAAGAGCATCCGCAAAACGGTTTGACTTCCCCGGAATATGATCGGGAAAGAAGTCAAATTGGTCAATGAAAGTCATCCATCGCGCGATGGTGCTATTGACGATGTCTTGGGTTTTGTAGAAGACCAACGGACTGTTGTCCGTTACTCATCGGAATTGGCTTTGACCAAGGAGGAAGTGCCACCACCGCTTGAGCGCGTGGACAAAGGCGAGGAGCTCCTTCTTGCGTGCATCGTCAATGGAGTGCACGGCGGGCACTTTCTTGCTGAAGTACTCGACCGGGTGCCAGTCCACGCCATCATGTTGTTCGAGGACGGCACCAATGCCATAGCCGGACGCATCCGTAGTGACGCGTACAGACAATAGGAGGTTGTAGATGTGAAAGACCTCCGCAGATAATAGCGCGACTTTGAGAGCCAAAAATGATTCCCTCGCATCCTCTCCGAAGTTAAACAGCCGATCCTCGCATTGAAGTTTGGACAAGTGGGCCGCGATCTTCGAGTATCCCTTGATAAAACGTTGGTGGTAGCCGGCAAGGCCAGGGAGCGAATGGACATCCGTGATGTTCCGTGGCTCCGGCCACTCTTGGATGGCTCGAATCTTGTCCGATAGCGGACTGATGCCCTCCAGTGCGACAAAATGGCCCAAGTATTCCAGCTCTTGCCAGACAAATTTGCACTTGTCGTGGTTGGCCTTGTACTTGGCGCGGCGGGGTGTCTCCAACACTCGTCGAAGGTGCTCAAGATGATCCTCCAATGAGCGGCTATAGACAAGAATGCCGTCTAAGTAGACCAACACGAACCGGTCCAACATCGCGCGAAACTCGTTGGTCATTGCCAGTTGAAAGGTCGTCGGGCCGTTGGTGAGGCCAAAAGGCATGACCACCCACTCAAAATGCCCGTACCGCGTCTTGAGCGCGGATTTGTAGCGATAATTCAGTCGTATCAAAATCTGATCGTATCCCGACTTCAAATCCAACTTAAAGAAGTACTTCGCGCCGCCCAATCGCTCAAGAAGATCGTCGATATGAGGAAGAGGCCCCGCATTCTTGACGTTTTTCATTGAGCTTGAGGTAGTCGATGCAAAATCGTAGATCTTTGTTCTTCTTCCGTACGAAGAGAACTGGCACTCCGTATGGAGAGCTACTGGGGCAGATCCAGCCCTTGTCCAAGAAATCATGGAGTTGCGCGCGAAGGACCGTAAGCTCCTCCTTGCTCATGCGATAAATGCAACCTTTCGGCGGCACGACACCGGCCTCGAGAATGATCTCGTGAGAGATCGGCCGATCTGGCACCACACCGGTAGGTGACTCGAAGATGTCGGCGAACTCGTCGAGCAACCGCACCACACGGGGGTCCGAAGACAAGTTCGTGGGTGAAGAGTCGGCTACCGCGACGGTCCGTAGGAAACATAGGCCGATTTCGTCGGGCTGCTCGTAAGCACAAGTAGCCCGAAATGAATTGGCCATCACCACTTGGCACCGAATCGAAGGGTGCAAAAGAGGAATAGTACACGATACTTCGGCACCGAAGGCGTTGCGAATGGTAAGAGTCTGCCGGTGGAAGTTGACCGTGTGTTCCGCACTTGTAAGCCAAGGCATTCCCAAAATAATGTCGAAGTCCGTGTCCAAAATGTCAAATGTCACCGGTTCGCATGCATGAGGTGCGAAATACACCGGTACCGCCTCGATGTAGCGGTCGATAAGTTGTTGCGTCCTTCCGTCCGCCAACTTGATCATCGTCGGGTTTTGCCTTCCTTCGAACTTGTGCACTGAGGCCAGCCCTTTGCATAAAGGCTTGGCTCATAAAATTGTGAGACGCGCCGCTATCCAGCAAAGCGTTGCAGGACGCTTGCCCAACTTGGATGCGGACATAGAGGAGCGGTGTGTTGTTCTCGTCATACCGCTGATTGTGAAACTCGCGGGCCACCTCGGTAACATACGCAAGGATGTCCCCCATTGCGACTTCGTCATCCCTCGGCGAAGTTGTTGGTGCATAGAAGGATAAGTACGTGTGAAGATGATGCTGCACATTGCGGTCCCAGCAAGCGGCCCGTGGTCAGGAGAGGAAGCCATGTGAAATCCTCGGACGTGAGTAGGTCCAATACCTCTATGTTGAACTCGCGCGCCGAATCCCGTGAAGAACCACTTGAAGACGATAAGTTGTCGTTGCCGGACGGAGAAGATACAACACACACGTCTTGTCCTTGAGCATGAGTACCCAGCGTAGGAACGAGCCAGGCAGCATAGTCCTCAAAAGAATAAAGAAGAAGAGGACTATCGACTTCTGCATGTGCCTCGGAACGAAGGGCGGTCACCCGCGAAGTGACCGGTTCCGAAGGCGTCGAGAATGTTATCGAGTCACTCCCGGCGGTGCTCAGTTTTCCAATTTGCCCTTGCCTTTCGATTGGCAGGCAATTGTGTCGTAGAGATCGCTGTTACACCACAGACAATAGCGGAATCTCATGCGTGCCTTGTATGCTTGCTCGGAGAGACCGTAGTGGGACCATGGGGTTGTAGCTGTTGTGCCGGGCCCGGGGCTAGATGCGGTGTTTGTCTTCGCCTTGCCTCGTCCTCGGTCTCTGCCGGGGCGGCCACCTTCCTGGGCGGCTCGAGGCTGTCCCCTTCATTGGTAGACACGACCTCGCTAGTTTGGTCGTTTGGCGTTGCAGCCACGACCACGGCCACTTTCGGCCGATGCTGATCTCTGCTCAGGCCTGGCGCAAACGAACGCTGGAGATCTCTGGCCTCCTTGTTCGTGACAATAATCTGCGTGGCCTTGTCGAAGAGTTTTGTCAGTGTCATCAGGGTGTCCTTGACGTGAGTCAAGGCATTGCCCAACGCCGGACACGACCTCAAGACGAAGTAGTGTTTGATGGCTTTGAAGCTCATTTGGATGTCTGGGATAGATGTCAAGCGTTGGTACTCGGCAATCCAATCAACACTCGGCAGCGTGCCTTGTTCGAAGACCATCAGCTTGTCCATTGCCTTGATCTCCGACGGCTCTACTTGGAACCGCTTATGCCACACCACCTTTAAATCCCCCCAGTTGATTTTGGTATGCAAGTCGGCAGCCACCACTCCGTACTTGGACAAGAGATTGTCCAACCATGCTTGGCACGTGCCCCCCGACCGGGAGTATAAGTACACGTGGTGCTTGTGTTCTTTGACGTAATGTAGCTGCAACGCGAGCTCGAACTTGCGGAACCATGGAATTGGGTCCGTCTTCGTCGAGCCGCAGAAGATCTCCCGCCCATCGAACTTTGGAGTTGTCTCGCGCGGTTCCGAGCTCGAGTGGTTGGCGGCAGTACAGATCCGCTGCTCCAATTGTTGCGTTGCGGTTTGCTGTAACTGCACGCCATCCTTGAGGGATCCGACGCCAATCTCCAATGTCTCGAGGCAATCGGAGGTGTTGGAAGAGCTGGCAACGGGGCTGGCGACGGTTTGTTCCAGCTGCTGGAGGCGGGTGGTGAGTTGATCAAACACCTGATTGTGTGTCTGAACCGCGTCGTCGAGGTTGTGAATATCCTCCTGTTGTGCAATGCATGTGGCCAGGAGGTCTGTGAGATGGGAGAGGAGTAGAGCGATCTTGTTTTCGCTCTCTTCCAGCTTCCCATTCTCAGCCTCGGTCCGCAAGTCCGCTGCCATTGTGAGCAAAGCTCGCTCTCCGCTGAATATCTTCTCGTGTCGTTGAAGTCATTCTTCATCGGCAGCCTTTGCTGCTGCCTCATCTTGCTGGCGCTGCTGTTCAATTGCCAACAGACGTGCCTTCTCGGCGTCCTCTACCTTCTTCTTTGTTGCGGCTGCTACTGCATCCGACCGTTGCTTGGCTTCGGTAATCAAAAGCAGCATCCGGGCCTGATAGGCCTCGTCTGTTTCCTTGGACATCTGGTCCATGACGGCTGTTTTCGAGCGCATAAGCATGGACCAGGCTGGGGCCTGCTGACGTGGCACTCCCTGCTGCTGACGTGGCTGCTGACATGTCCTGTTGGCATGTCCTGCTGACGTGGCTTGCTGGCATGGTCTTCTGACGTGGCCTGCTGACATGGCAACTCACCAATGCCGCCGCAGGGTGTACCCGGAGACAGATAGAGAAAGCAAGACCAGAGGGGGCAACAAATAGGTGGGGAGGGGTGGGTGGGGATAAATCGCCCAGATAAGGAGCCACTAATAAAAAAAGAAAAGTTTGAACTTTGCAAAAAAAAAAATTAGAGAAAATAAAAATCCCGAGTTTTCCAAGTTCAGTAGGTCTCCCAACCTCCCTTGAAGTGCGAAATTATCAATGAGAGAAAAAAAAAAGTTTCGAACTTTCAGACTGCCAATGATTATCAGGTAGTGAAAATCAGAGAACTGCGAATAAAAAAAATTATAAAAAGAAATAACAAGTATTCGGACTTACTCAGATGAGAGTATTCGCAGTTTGGAAAATGGTGCTGCAAGAGGGATTTCCCATACCGTTTAAAAAAAAAACGAATTTCGAAAAAAAATATTCCGGATTTCTAAATAACGGGAAATTGCAAAAGGAAATCGAAATTTTCGAAAAAAGATATTCCGGATTTTCCAACAACGAAATTTCGAATTTTCAGAAGAAAAACGAAAACGGAAATTTCAGATGTTGTGCTATTGCGATTTTCCACAGCAGAAATAGTGAGAAAAAAAAATCCAAGAAAAGAAAAAAAAAAAAATCGACTTTCGGCAGTGAGGTCAAAATCGCGATTTTGGGGGCTAACTACTATGCTCTAATCAATCAATCAAGACTAATCAGCTACCTAGTCCCCGCACACGTGTCAGATCAGGTTGTCCTGATTCACGTGCGGTGTTCCGATACCAACTGTTACATGCCCAGTTGGGCGATGTACATAATAACTGAGGATCTGCAATGCAATAAAAAGGACTGAATGGACAATGCAGTGCAAGTGAAATCTCAACAAGCAGTGTACATTCTGATACATACAAAATGGTGCTTTATAGCGCAGGGAAGACTTAGATACAAGTCCTGACCTGACCGGGACTGACCTCAATCACGTAGTTTAAGACAACGCAGCAGAATGCTAGAATAGTAGAATACCAATTACTAGCCCAATCAATGTTGCAACGCAGACCAAACATACATCATCCTCATCACAAGGTGTGAAGGGACCTGGCGCTATACACAGGAAGAAGGCACCAGGCCCAGATCATGCACAGACGAAGAGGAGGGGAACAGGCGAAGAAGAGGGGGAGAGATGGGAGTGTCGTTAACACCAAGTCTTTGTTNCGAAGAAGAGGGGGAGAGATGGGAGTGTCGTTAACACCAAGTCTTTGTTACAAGTCCCAAATAATCCCACGTCAAAATGTCTGAAGCCCAAATGTCAGGTCTGGATCCAAATGTCACCACGCTCTCTCTTTCTCTCGTAGTCTGCTGATGCAGTGAAGTCAAGTAGCAAGAGGGTGAGAGGGAGATGGTGGACTGAGAAGAGGAAGAGGAAGAACTCTCTCTCTCTCATATGCCAAGTACTAACCTGTGAAGATGGCGCTGTGCTGCAGGTACCTCGAAGGCGAAGTTGGAGCTATGGCGCTGCAGGTAAGTATCCCTGGCCTCCGCCCAATCTCTCTCTCTCTAGTACTACTCTTGCTCCTATGGTGCCCAGCGCTGAAGACTACTGCTAACTCTACTAGCGCCCAGAGCTGAAGACTACTGCTAGCTCTACAACTACTCCTGCAGCGCTCCTCCAGAGTGCTGCTGCCGAATCTTGAAGACTACCTCCTGCCTTCTGAACTGCACGTGAAGTGCCTGGGAAGTACCTAGGAACTCCCTGCAGCCTGCAGCGCGGGCCAGTCCTATATAGTGCTGGTCCATCCAGGACGCTGCTCTTGCAAATGCCGAAACGTGCCAGACCCTGGCGTTGAAGCTCAACCAGGGGTTGTCTTGAAAACAGGCCCAGAATGGCCAGTGCTGAAACCCTGGTTTGGTGCTTGAGTTTCAGGGCAGGTCGAACTCATGAGGGCCTGAAAATGGCCCTCTGTTTCAGGCTGAAAACACTCAGGGCCGGAAAGGCCCTGATTTAGGCGGAAACGACACAGGGCCTGTAGGCCCTTCTTTTCAAGCTTTCAGGCTGAAACGACACGGGGCCTATAGGCCCTTGTTTTCAGGCTTTCGGCCTGAAAACGTCACGGGCCTGAAAGTGGCCCGTACATCCTGTTGCCAGCGCAGCATGTAACAGTGTGTGTGTGCGCGTGTGTGTGGCAGAGGGAGAGTGCGGTCAAGACTCTGCCATCGCCAGTGGCACGAGCCGAGAGAAGGGCGCGCCGTGTACGTATGACGCGCATGTCTTGAAAAAAAAAAAGGAAAAAAAATGGAAAAAAAAAAGGAAAAAGAAAAGGGAAAAGAAAAGGAGAAAAAGAAAGGAAAAAAAAATGGAAACAAAAAAGGGAAAAAAAGGAGGAAGCTTGCCTGTGT